GTACCTTTTCACACCATGAGGAAGGGTGGCTCTGACTGCAGGATGGGCGCGTTAGCAGGGCAAAGAGAGTGGCCCAGTTCACGGGCGCTAACAATACGTACACCAAGCTGTAGTGTCGGCATTTCTCCTCAACCTAACACCCCTCCAGGGAGGGCGCACGCTCCGGAGGGCCAGTGGCGTCTGCTGCTTCTACTCCCCACGCGGAAGAGCCGGGCAGCTTGCCCCCGGCGGCAGGAAGAGCAGAGTAGTCTGGTGGCCGCTCAGGCCCAAAGCAGAAATGAGCAGCAGGCGAGGGCTGCGGCCCGGGAGCACGGCCCCGGGTGGTGAGCCAGCTCTCCGCGCAGCTCTTCTCAGACCTCGGGGTCGCGGGTGCAGGGCAGTCGGGCAAAGGGCCAGCGGGACAGGGGTGCCAGGGGCTCGGCGGGGAGGGGGGTTTCCTCAGGGCAGGACCGAGGACAGGGACTGTGTGAGGGAGCCCAGTTTGGCCAGAAAATTCAAATCGACGGGAGCCGGGCCTCCGCAGCCGGGGCAGGTCAGTCTCTGTCCCTGGCCCGAGCAGGCCGCTGTGTGGCAGGGGGACTCGGAGAGCGTGCGCCCCCGGCTCTGCCCGACCCCGCACAGTGTAGGAAGCGGCAGGCTTCTGTCCCACCTCGGGTTACCAGTGTCTCGAGTCCACCAGCTCCGGGCGCAGGCTGAGCTTCTTGAGGCTCTCGTAGCCCACCACGATGACAATGGTGGAGGGCGTGGCCGAGATGATTCGGGCTGAGAGCCCCTTCATGAGGCCCCAAGGGCCCTCTTCTGCCATGAGCTGTCTGAAGGTCAGGATGATGGAGGTCTTGCCCTCAACCTGGAAAAGTCCACACAGTACAGGGTCAAGGTCGGCAGCCAGAGCCCTCGGCTCCACCCCGCCCCACCTGCGGCAAAGCGGGAAGAGCCGCACTGTGGAGCCTGAGGGCCAGCACGGCGGTTTGGGGGGTTCCGGTGCCAGACTGCCAGGTCTGAGGTCTGCTCCCCAGTTTCCTAACAGCGTAACCTTTGCACCTCAGCTTCCTCAAACATAAAACAGTGATAACAGTCCCATGCCACGTGCTTGTACTGAACAGTAAACAAAAGGACACCGGTAACCGCCGAGGTCAGAGCCTGGCAGACAACGCGTCCAGTAAGCGGCAGCCATTGTTAACGTCATCAGATAAGCGGGACACCGCGAGCCTCTGGAGCGTGCTTCTCTCCGCGCACAGGGAGGCTGCGTGAAGTCGGCTCTAAGGTCCTCTGCAGCTCTGCCAGTCTGTGATTCTGAGCCTGGTCACCTCGGTGGTCAACTCAGTGGTCACCTCAGTCCCTCCAAACCCTACGGCTAGAGTCCTCCCCTCCGACCCTGCTGTCTCCCAGGCACCTACTTCCCCCTCACACTGGAGGCCTGGCCGAGCAGGAAGCTCATCTCGAGTCCTGCCCGCTCGCCCAACCCCCGCACCCTGCCACCAGGCCGCGCCTTCGGAGACAGCCCACCGGAGCCTCCGCCAAGGCAGCACAGATGCACTGCTCATTACGCCCCCCAAACGCATGGCCTTCCCAAGGGGGTGCACCCATGGCTAAGAACACCGCCCCTCCTCCCGGCCTCCTCCACACTCCCCTCCTCCTCTGTCCTCTCCTCTGACCACTTCTGCTCTTATCCCAGCCATGTCACGGGCTTTGCAGCTGTGCCCCTGGCCCTCACGTGCGCTTCGTCTCCTCCGGCCTGGGAGCGCCTCAAAGCGGTGGCCTGTCTTTCCCCTGGGTGGCCTTGCAGAACACAGGACAGAGCTCAGGCCAGAACGAGACCGAGCCCGTGCACTTTGTTATTCGCAAACCAATCAGATGGCAATGTAGTCATTTTCAAATGTGTGCGGTGGTGGTGGGGAGGGCATTCTTTTCTGGGGACGAAAATACCTACATTTACCAGCCACCTGCATCGCAAAGCCCTGTATCGGGGAAGCTGAGTGCCCTCAAGCCACTGAATTTCCGTCCCTTCCCTTCCCTCCCCTGCTCACCATTACCAAACGGCCCCTCTCCTGGCCAGCTTTCCCCTTTAGCTACCCCAGCCAGACATTAAAATCCCCATTCTCCTGACCTAAATAAAGCGTTATACGGCAAGATCTGCCATGTGTATGTTATATATCACCGCTCAGATTCCGCTTCCGTGACCTAATTGCTGCAGAGTTGTTTCTGAGCTGACTGAAGATGGGACTATAACGTCTGGAAAGCGCCACCGAGGGCTTTGCCATGTTTGTGCTGAGTCCGCACAGTACAATCCGTGAAACCTATTCAAGAACAGTCATTGTCACTGTCTGTACAGAGCTCGTAGCCCACCGGGGAAGCCAGACTTAGGACATTAACTGAAATCGGCATTTCTAATAACCTCGAACCTGCGAGGTAAGGGCAGGTGGTGACAGCAGCGCTCATCGTCTGAAAGGCCGGCAGAGACCGGTCAGAGCTCCCAGAGGCCTGGGCCAGGGCGGGGGTCGGCATGCGAGACAGCGGAAGAGGCGTGACAGACCTCCAGGTCCTTCGGAAGGGGGTCGGGTGGCCAAAGGGCCGGGGCACGGCCGCAGGGCCTGAAGGTCACGCCTTTGGCGGCCAGTGTCTTACCTGCACTCGGGTCCGGATGACATCCATGGGATTGGTGAGGACGGAAGCAGTGGCCGCGGCCAGGGGGCCTGACATGGCTTGAAGGACAATGTGAGGACACTCCTTGGGACAGAGGTGGGAGAGCTGCTCTGGAATGGGGAGAGACGGCGCTCAGACAGCAGGCGCCACCCGTCTGGCCTCGCGCCGCTGCCAGGCGGCCCAGCAGGAACGACCTCCACGTCCTGCCACCTCACCCCCCGCCCGGTCACTCCCACCTGCTCTTCTCCTTGCTTCCTTCTGAACCAACGAGCAGTTCTACATCTCAGGCCCCTTCCAGAAGTCACCTTGGTTATGTCACCCGTTTCGAACAGGACGAAGTGCCCCAGAGAAGGGAGTTTCGGAACCTCCGGTGGACAGAAACCCTCCCTGCGGTAAAAGCCCCAGGCCTGTGCTCCACTGTCCCCAACTCACAGGCGAGGAGAGCACACGTGACACGTTTCGTATTATGTGCATCGAATTCCTGGGGGGACGCGTTAAAAACTGGCGACACTGCCGTCTTTAGGGACGGGAGCCGGGTGGCCGTGGTGAGGAGCGGTTTACAGCGTCACAGAAGTCCCTCTCCTACCTTCGCATTTTGAGCCCACGTGACTGTTTTTACAAATAACAACAATTATGATTAAAAGGGACCGTCATAGCCTACAGTGAGAACTTTTCTCCAGCCTCTATCAAGAAAGAAAAACTCGTTTTTCAAAATGCTGGCGGAGCGGATGGAACAGTACCCAGTGTCACCCATTCCCAGTGTCGCAAGGAGGTTCACTGCAACTCAATGTTCCCTTTACTGTCTCTGGAGGAGAAAGACCAGAGTTCAACAAAGATGTATCAAGTAGCTACAAGGAGCCAGCGACCCTGGGTTCTAAGGACACAACAGTGAATACAAGAGCCTCAAACCCCTGTGCTTATGAAGTTTACATGCCAGTGGGGGCAGACCGACAGCAAACAAACGAAAAGCGTACAAGAGCCTCAAAGTTTACATGCAGTGGGGGCAGACCGACAGCAAACAAACGAAAAGCAAAACTCTGCAAAATATATAGCTACGTCAGAAAGTGATGTGTGCCAGCTCGAGATGAAAATAAGGCAGGAAAGGGAGACAGGAAATGGCCACACAGGGGTGAAGGGCTTGCCATTTACGCAAGGCGCTTGCAGGAGCCCGCTCTCAGGGGTGGGGTGAGCCCTCGGCTCTGGAAGGAGGGAACACCCCAGGCGGAGGCCGAAGTCTGCAGCGCCTGGGGCAGAATGAGGTGGGGAGAGACCGGCAGAGGCCCCGGACCACGCTGCTCGGACCCCGGCTCTCACACTGAGTGAGACAGGCAGGGGACAGATGCGTCCTAAGGTTCCCTTTCAGTGTCTCTCTACAGTTCAGTCGCCTTATGCCTTTAAGAGTCTTTCCCATGGTTAGGGTCATCTGTGGCCACGTGACTGGCGATCAGGGGACAAGCAGGATGGGGGATGGCGGGGCGGAAGTGAGGGCTTCTAGCCCCAGCAGCTTGGCGCAGCTCTTTAAGGTGGGCCAGAGCCACCTCTCCCTGACTCGTGATGGCTTCCTTGCCCAAGGCCGGCACACAGACAGACCCGACAGCACTGCTGGCTCACGGCGTCCCGTTTCTCTCGAGAAGAAGGCATTTCGCAACCATTAGAGGGCAGCGTCTGGGCTGGCACTGCCAGCTTCCGAGGGCCCGTCTGCCCTCCAGTCCAGACTCCAGTCCCAGCCATGCGCACGCGCCACCTTCCTGGGGCCGAGGGAGAGGACGCAAAAATCAAAGGCAGAGGGCAGGGGAAGGGCCCCGGCCTCCTTCTCCACTCGCCACTCAGCGAGGCTTTACTGGGCACCTGTTATCTGACTTGGCCAAGTGACGGCACAAGTAATATAAATCAGTTTTTACTTGATGCTTATTAAAGGCCCCTGGACGTAAAACGTGCAAATGGACAGGGAATAAACGCCGTCGTGGAGGCTGCAGTGCAGTAGGGGCTGGGACGGGGGGTGAAACAAGCAGGGATCCCGGCCGGGCTCTGAAGGACCGAGGTGCCGACAAAGGGAACGGGAGAGCCCTCCTCCAGCGGGGCCGTTAAAGAGGCCTCTTGGCAGAGGCGGCATGTGGGTCGGGCCCGGGGCCCGAGAAGGAGCTGGCCGCACTGAGGCGAGAACAGAGCTTGGTGTTTCGGGAACCGGAGGGAGGGAGGGAAGGAGGGCAGCGCGCGGCTGCAGAAGGGACGGCGCCAGATCGTGCCGACCTGAGTCCGCCGTGGGAGGCATTCGATTTTGTTCTAAACGCCCACACGTCAGCATCAGTAGATTTTAAGCAAAAAGGAATGATGAGAACCAACCTACTCACTCAACGAACGTTTACTGAGCGCTTCGATTCACCAGACCGAGACACGCAGCGGTCACAGAGCCTGGCACATAGTGGATATTTAACAGATGCCAGTTTCCTCCCCCTTCCAAGAATCTTTCTGGTCAATTCCATCTCAATAGAGCTGGAGAAATATGCATTAAAAAAATAATAAAAGGACCTTCGCACACCGTGGAAGAGAGAAGGCACACACGAGTTAACACTAAGGCACATGCTATACCTGCCTCAAGGAAGATTCAAGCAAAGCTGGGGGGCTGAAAGGCGGGACGGCCCACTCTGGTTCAGTGCCACAGGGGGCGGCTGGGAGAGCAGGCACTGTGGACGCTTAGGGTAAGCAGGGCAGACGGCCCAGATGGCGCCCAGCAGAGGGGTGGCACGGACGGAGCAGGGCTGGGAGGGCGATGCCTGGTCTCGGCGTGGACTAGACACGGGGCAGCAGGAGTTCACTGTCAGAAGGGGCTGAGGCTGGGCCGAAGGGTTTGGAATCTACTCAGCGAGCAGCGGAGCCACCGAGCTTCACAGCCAGGGTTTTCTGGTCTATTTTTTTGTTTTGTTTTGTTTTACATGCAATAAATAAGAGTTTTAAAAGAATTCGGGGGGAGGGGGTGATGGAAGGGCAGGGAGGGGCTTGGAGAGACTGGCTAGAGGGCTGATGCTGCAGCCCCGCGGGGCGGTCCCGGCCGCAGGGTGTCCAGGAGGACAGCGGGGAGGACATTCTGGGGTAATCAGGACCTGCGTGGGGACAAGGAAGAGGGAGTGGCCCAGCGCTGTCCCTGAGGCTTCCGTCTCAGTGATCTGCGGATCGGCAAGGCCACTGACAGGAAAGTAAGTTAGAAGGGAAAGCCAGTTTGGGATGAAGACTAGGTAACGCTTAAAATTTCAGATGTAAATACATGCATCCAAGCAGAAAGGTCCAGCCGTCAGAATGTCTGCCCAGAGTCGGACAGGGGAGTCTGGGAATGGAAATAGAGGTTTTTAGACATATTAGAAAAGCACAACTCAGTTGTAAATGAACTCGGAGGAGGAGAGAAGGGTGAAGACAGAGGCCCGAGAAAGTGCCCACGCTTCCTGGGACGCTCCGACCGCCAGGACCCATTCTCAAAGAACCTGATACAAAGGGCCGGGGTAGAGTCCAGGTGTGTGAATTTTACCAAATGCTCTAGATGAAAGACTGTGTTAAACAGAAGAAAGAAACAGAGCCAGCAAAAAAAAAAAAGTACAATCGGAAAAACAGGAAACTATAAAAGTACATGCAGTGGAAACGTGATCACAACAGCTGAGGAGGTCCTCAAAAACCTGGTTAGCAACGTCGCAGACGATGGGGCCGAGTGCCCGCCGCCGGGAAAGGCCGGGGCCAGCGGCAGGCCCGGGCGGCAGCGAGCACCCACTGCCCTGGTGCACGCCACAGGGCGCCAGGCACTCGGGCCCTGCTCACGGCAGTACGGTCTCCCTGAGGCTCTCAAAAATGTCATCATTCGACACAGTGCCCCCATGTCCGGGAAATACGTGAAGAGAAGTAAAATGCGTGATGAATCAAACGCGTTATAGCACCGGAGAGGTTCACGGTCACTTCGCATCTGGAGCGTAGCGACGCCGAGGAGGGGCGCCCGACTCAAAAGCTCACGCTCGCCCATCAGCTCCACCGTCCAATCTCAAAGAGCCGTGGACGTTGTCCCTACCCGCTTTCCGGTCCTCGGCCAGTACCCCACTACCCCGGTGGACGCCTGGGCGCCCAGGACACTCTGTGCTCCGGCCGCCCGCTTCGCTTGTCGGGCTCCCCGACGCGCGTGAGCTCCTCGAAGGCGAGGACCGTGTCTTATTCATCTCCAAATCGTCCTGGATCACACGTTTGCTGAATGAACGGCCCCCTGTCCCACCGAGTCCCCCACCGAGCCGTGCCCAGAGCCACCGTGTGCCAGCCCCGCTCTCCCGGCCCCTGCTTACCTGCATAGAAATGATAGAAGGGCCACCACACGGCGCTGTTGGGGATGTAGGTGAGCAGGGAGGCCACGTAGCCTCGGTAGAAGCCCCGGAGGCCGTCGGCCCGCAGGATCTGCCTGATGATGTCCTTGGTTTGGCCGAAGGCGACCACGCCCTGTCCCTCGGGGCCCCCTCGCACCTGGAAGCGGCTGGTCTTCTCGCCCTTGCGCTGCATCATCAGGTGCTGGGAGACCACGTCGATGGGCACCGTGATGCTCTGGGCCACCAGGGAGGCCGAGCCACCGGCCACCAGCGACTTGACTGTGTTGCTCTGGCTGTAGTCAGCTACGAACTTCCGGGTGAGCTCATAGGTGGTGACGTAGCACTGGCCTGAGATGAGGGTGAAGGTGTTGACCAGGAAGCCCCGGTAGAGGCCGGTGACGCCGTCGGCCCGCAGGATCTTGACGAAGGCGTCGAAGGTGCCCTGGTACAGGCTCTTGCCCTTCTGGACCTGCAGCCGCGTGCGGATGAGGGTGAACGGGTAGACGCTGACGCGGATCATCATCGTCATCGCCACGCCCAGCACGTAGAACTTCTTCTTGTCCAGGTGCTCCCACTCGATGATCTGGATGTTGCGTTTGTCCTCCATGGTGCCCGAAGCCCTGCGGGTGACAAAGGGCTCAGGACTTCGTCCGTTCCCCTCCCAGCACGGCCCTGGAACCCCGTCCTCGGGCTTCATATCCACGGGTGCCCGCCTCCCCAAAGCTCGCCTTCACCAGTCTGGCTCTGCATCTTCCTTCACAGATCGGGAGACGGCTCCCACCTCTCCCCTTCATCGTCTTTCCCAGTCCCAGAAACTGTCCCTTACCTCAGTGACCCCCGGTCCCACTCCTGCCTCGGCTCCCTACCCCCAGCTTCCCGGGTCGTCTACCTGGTCTCCCTGCCTCTGCCCGGGCCTGGTGCACGTGACCTGGTGTCATGGCCCTTCTGCCCCTCCGGCTCACCCGGGCCGAGCCCAGGATGCTGTGGACACACGGACCACCTGGCAGGATGCGAGGCCTTTCAGTGGGCTGACGGGGTGTCACCAGGTGACATTTAGGAGGCTCCTAAAAGCTGGAGGAAAGCGCTCCGTTTTTGGGGCTCGGGGCGCACAGAGGCGGCACCGCCTCCGGCCCCGCATCTGCGGCTCGGCGCCTCTCTCGTCGGCACTCACCAGCCGAGCGGCCTGAACTTATTTCTGGTTTCCACACTGGCCCGCTGGGCTCCCCCTGCCCCCACTCACTACGCTTCTACTTTCTCCAGTCTGCATTAGAGGAAAGGACGGGGAAGAAGCTAAGAGGGACTTCCACACCACAGGGCACCCCCCACCCCCCCGGAACCTGCCCTCCCTCCAATGAAAGGAGTCACAGCGCAGGAACCAGGCAAAGGTCAGAGTCCCCTTTGGTTATTAGATAACCCACTCTGGAGAAGGAAAAGATGCACTAGAAATCTTGAGGATGACGGGGAAAATCTTGAGGAAGAACATGCTTGGCTCCTTTCATCCCCAAGGATAGAAATCACAGCCTCAGGCTCAGGTAACGAAGGAGAGTCGAGTAACGGAGGAGACACAGCCTCTGCCTTCGAGAAACTCACAAGGAGACACAGCCTCCCTCTGAGGAACGGATGTCAGACACGTTAATAAATGGGGCAAAGTAACGTACATGCGGCCCTTATGTGAAGAGCAGCCACTGCCTAAAGTGTCAAACAGAACTAATAAGCTTACTGATGGAATAAGTACAGAACCAGGGCTTCCGACTGAAGAAGCGTCCGACGAGAGCACGTCCCGTGTTGGACATACTCTGAGTGACGACAGAATACACTCCTCTGTAGGACACAGGACATTTTCGGCCAGAAGGAGAAAGTACAAAGTTAAATTCTAGGAAGTGAGAGAAATCCTCGTGGGCTGGGAAGGGAGGTGGCCACACTGAAGGGCTGAAATGTCCTACACAGCGGGTGCCAGTGCCTCGACAAAGTTCACGTCAAGTGTCGTCATCTGAGTCCCCCAGCCAAAGGTCCCAACCAGCCTGGGGAGCTCCTTGGTGTCCCACGGGGCGGCTTTCTGGAACACCCTGAGCTGGCCTGTGTCACTCTCATGAAGGTACAGGACCCCCGTGGTACACACGGAGCGCGTGGGAGCCAAGGGAAGACCTCGCCTTGCAGGTGAGGGGGGGCGAGGCTCATCAACCAGCCAGACTCCCTGGAGGAGGGCGACGCAGTGTGAATGGGGGAGAAATCCACGTGGACAGCGAAGGGACGCGGCCTGGAACCGCTGGCTGCCAGAGCGCAGACCGAGGCAGTGGGGGTCTAGAAGGACAACCCCTGGAACACCGCGTGCCCCCCGCTGTGGGCAGGGGCCCCTCCTCCGTAGCCTCAGCCCCACCCGCCAAGTCCAGTGGGGTGGTCTCCTCCTTTGAGTCCCTTCCAGAGAAGGCGGTCACTTTGCCCATGCCCCAGGGTATCTGTCACCTGGGGTCCCAAGGTCTTTTCCCATTAGCACTGAGAGATGAAGAGAGACACTGGGATTAACCGGACACCTGTGACCGCCTGTAATCCTCTCGACAACCTGTGTACAGCTGGACACTTCTGCTAAGTGAGCAAACGGCAGATACAGTAAAGGAACAGGCCAAGGTCACGCGGCAGGTCGGTGGTGGTGGCAGGACATGGGCCGAGATCTCTTTTGGGCTCCACTGTCTCCAGCCCCTGGGAGTTGGGACACTCTGACACAAATCCTCCAACACAAATCCGCCTGCTTGGCCGCAGGCCAAGTCGTCCCCACCACGGGGGGCAGTACGAATGGCCTCGTGACGGCAGGTCACCCAGGGGTTAAGCACGAGCGCCCGGCCCTGCGGGTGCCCAGGGGTTTCTCCCAATTCTGTTCCAGAGAAACCGAGACCGTCCCTGCTTCCTCAGTGTGTCTGCGGAGTGACCCAGCGGAGTGGCTGGGCGGGCACATTATTGTCACAGGACAAACACAGCAGGGCTCAGGCAAAACCGCATGCTAAGCAGGGTAGAGGCACAGCGACGAAGGATTCTGTTGCAGGACCTGGTTCTATGGGGACCACCCCAGCCTGCCAAGGAATCAGCACCCACACCTCCTGATGAGGGGGCCCTAAGGCAGCACCCGCTTTCGTCCATCTCAGACCTGTGCCCGTCCATTTTAAATTCCCAGAAGGAAGGGGGGGCCCTCCGATGCTGAAGCAGGTAACTCTCAGCATTGCCATGGTGACAGGAGATGCCACTCGGATAAGCCCTGCCAGCTGGAGGAGAGGGTACTGCAACCATTTCCTCTACCCCTTCAAAAGGCGGGGCTGCTCCCAAAAGGTGTGGTCCAGACTATTCATGGCTATACAATCTGAACTTTCTGCTGAAACATCAGAACCAGTTTCCCTTGTTTTACCCCCTGGAAAATCCTCCTCGTGGATCCTGTGTGCAAACCTCCTTCAGCCTCCCTCCTCCCAACTCTGCAGACGGACTGCGACCGACTGTGACCAGCTCGACCAACTGCGACGGGCTCCTCCCAGACCCTTATTTGTATGCATGGCTCCGGCCCTCAATTTCCTCCTCCCTTTACCGCTGCTCGGGCACAAAGGCAGAGGTGATTCCTATGGGGACCCAACACACGACCCAAGATGTCCTGAAGTCATCGAATGAGACGTGGGGGCAGAACCCCCACTGCCAAGCCCACCGGTGGAAAGGGACACCTGGAGGGATGGGTGCGTCTCCTCTCCGCTTCCACTTCCTCGTGCGGGAAAAATTACACTCTACTATTCACTAGGTAGGATTCTGATTCAGGACAAGGCAGTGTCACCTGGAATACAAGGTCGCGCCGTGGAAAAAACACTAGCCGTCGGGAGATCCAAGTCTGAGCTCCGCTCCCATGACTCAGCAAAAGGACTGGAACCAAGCACTTCACTGAAATTCGGTTTCCTCACCTGTGCAATGGGGCTACTAAAGGCTGCTACGCCAGACAGTCACGCGCCACCTGACGATAGGATACACCTAAGGGATGCGCCGCCGGCCACTGTCGTGCGAACGCCATAGCGCATGCGCACCGACTCCGACAGCGCGGCCGCGGGCACCCCAGGGCAGTCAGGTCCCTCCCCTGCTCGCGGGCTGTGGGCCGGGGCGGCACGTCACTGCACTGGGCGTCACTGCACTGGGCGTCACTGTACTGGGTGTCACTGCACTGGCCACTGGAGGCAGCTGGAACGCCATGGGGAGTAGGTTCGTATCTCAGCCCCGACGAGACGCCGTGAAAACACGGTATGGGAGATGGAAGGCGGTGCACCTGCGCGGGGCGCCGCCCACGGACGGAGCCCAGGACTGGGGGTCGCGCTGGGGGAGTCAGTGCGTGAGCGGTGCGTGGACTTGGCACCTGGGCCACACGCCCTTCACAACACAATGCGAGATTCCATGGAGCACGGCGGAAGACGGAGCGATCGAGAGGCACGGCAAACACGGCCCACCGTTCACAGCGAACGTTTCTCGTCTGAGCGGAAAGGGGGAACAGCGCATTATCACGATCGAGCACCGCGGACCGCACCGACGGCACGCGCTCCACACCGCACGCCTGGCGGCGCCACGCGCACGTGGGCCGCGCGCCGCCCTACGACACTGCGACGACTGCAGCGGCACTAGGCGACAGAAATCTTGCGGCTCCATTATGATCTTGTGGGAGCAGCGTTGAATGTGTGGCCGGTTGTTGACCGAAGCGTCATCCGGCAGCGCACAACTGCGTAAGTGTGGTGTAAGGCACACGAGCCGACACATTCTGTTTCCAGCAAAGCATTTCCACCGCTGCAGAAAGCTCTGTGGGGCAGGGCTGCTCAGAGTGGAGCACAGACCAGCAGCGTGGGCATCGCCCACGAGCCCGTGAGAAATGCAGAATTTGAGAATTTGCCCCGCAGACCTGCTGAATAAGAGCCGACGTTTTAACAAGATCCGGAGTGCTCAACGTGTCGGAGTTCGGGAAGCCACGCTTCGAAGGCTAAAGGCTGCCAGTATCACAACCATGACAGCTACCCCAAAAGCCCGGGACCATCCGGGCTGGGCTCGCAGCACTGACTGCATCCCGACCTGTCACCGGAACCGGCGCCAATGATGACTACTAGACTCATTCAGAACTCTTCGGTCAGCCGCCCCCACCACATTCACAAGACACACGTGGGGTTTGCTCCCCACTTCTCGGCTGGCAACAAGACCTCTGCTTCCTCCTCCTGTCCCCCTCTTCTCCCTGCGCGTCTGCATGAACGCTCTGCGACGCGGAGCTACCTGCGTGAAGTGATCGCATCCACACGCCTGCCCGCCGGTCGTAACGAGCTTGCATGTCCTCAGAGGACGACCCTGGTGACATCTCCCTAGAATTAGGTGAAATTCCCACCCGGCCTTCTGTGTTCTTTGATAGGTGCCCACGTGATCCCACATCACAGTCACCACGTGACAGTCCTCTCCACCTACTCCACATGACAGCCCCTTTGTACAGCTTCTGTCCTGGCTCTCGCACAGCCGCGGCTGGGCCCTCGGACATGCCGCTCGCCATGCTCCTTCCGCTGTCCGCGAACCTCATGCTCCTCCGGTAGGAGGAGATGCCTCGTTACAGCCGTCCTGCACCGCAGCCCCAAACTGCGTGGCGGGCTCCCATGGAACCGCAGCCGGGCACTGCAGACACCCGCTGCCCCCTCGACGGGTCCAGGTGCGCGGAGACCTCGGCCCTCGGGCACCGCACCCCGGTGGTTCCTCACCTTCTCAGCTCAGGGCGGTCCCGCCGCGTCCGAGGAGAAGTCCAAGCCGAGGCCCCTAGGCCGCAGCTTCCGCTCGATCCATTGCTCCCGGCGACTGCCGGCCTCGGGCCACATCTTCCTCCATCTCGACCGGGCTCCGGGTCCTGTCGGAACCGGAAATTGGGACTCTGTATTCCCGTTCCCCGGAAGATGAGCTGTGGGAAGCTCCACCAATGGCGTTCTGAGCTCCTCGCCCGCGGACGAGGGAGGGCGGCCCCTGCGGCCATCTTGCGTTTGGGCAGAAGCCACGCCTTCATCAGCTTCGCCGTGCCCCCAGCTCTACGGCGCGTGCGTGTCCTTTCCAATTGGCGAAAATCGAGTCACAGCAGGCGCTTCTTGAAGATCCGGTTCTAAACGGGTCACCTTGTGCTTCGGATCTGTTGGAATCCTCGAATTTAAATTTAATCTGTAATGTTCGTGGAACTTTGCTCATCTGTGGCGCCAAAGCAGTAGAAGCCAATGTGCGGCAGGAAGGAGTGAGGGCAGACGACCAATTTTCAGGCTCCGGAACTCAAAAGATTGCAGCAATAGGGGACATCTTGGAGGTGGAGTCAATGACGTTAAGAGTCTCTTCCAACTCTGAAACTATTTGCCTATACATGGATTTAAAACAAGAGGGAGAGCTCTTTAAATGGGGGCGTGGGAGGCCTGGAGTGGGGTCAATCCATTTCAAAGTAGATATTTCCACAACTGAACGACGAAAGGACAAACGACCAAATTTTAAAATGACCAAAGGTCTCGAGTAGACATTTTAACACAAGGGAAGTACAAATGGCCGATAAGCACACGAAAAGGTGATCAATATCATTCGTGATTAGAGAAATGCACATCAAAACCACAATGAGATCCCACTTCACGCCCCGCTAAGATGGCTAAAATGAAAAGAGACAAACAAACGAAAAGCCTGGACATAACAAGTGTTAACAAGGATGTGGAGAAATCGGAACCCTCAGACGTTGCTGGTGGAAATGCAAAATGGTGCAGCTGCTGTGGGAAAACAGTTTGGCGGTTCCTCAAAAAGTTAAGCGGAGTTACCATATGACCCAACAATTTCACTCTGAATATATACCCAAAAGCACCGAAAACAGATGTTGAAACCAAAACTTGTACAGGAATGTCCATAACAGCACGACTCGCAGTGGTCAAAACTTAGAAACAGGTGGCGATACATATCCACACAATGGAATGTTATTCAGCGATAAAAAGTAATGATGTATTGATCCATACGATATGGATGCATCTTGAAACCACCGTGCTAGGTGAAATAATCCAGACACAAAGTCATCTTTGGTATAATTCCATTTATACAAAATATGCGGAATAGGCAAATCTATAGAGACAGTGGATTTGGTGGCTGCCGGGGACGGTGGCGGGAGAGAGTGGGCAGTGACTGCTTAATTAGTGCGGGGTTTTATCTGGGGGTGATGAAGACTGCATGCATTGTGAGTGACCACGTGTCACAAATAGTAAACTTTGTGTCGTGTATTTTACTACAATAAGAAAAATTTGAAAGTGAATTTTCACCTTCAAAATAATGTTTCTTATACGTAAGCCAAGTCATCATGCTGTGCCCGTAAAATTTTTACAGTGCTGTATGCCAATTGCATCTCAATAAAAGTTGGGAAAGAGATACTGTTCTTCATTAAATACGTCTTTTACTATAAAAAAATATTTGCTGCCTCTAGGATAGATCCCTCCTCAAGTCCAGATCTGTGTTGACAACTGCTTCAAAATACCTAATGGAGACTTGGAACTTAGTGTGACGGATAGTTTTAAGTCAGTTTGGCTAGGCTGCGGTACCTAGTCCTTCAAACGCTAACACTGTTGCTGTGGAGAGATTTTGTAGGTGTGGTTACCACCTGCCATCAGTTGAGATTACCTTGATAATGTAAGTGGGCCTCAGCTAATCAGTGGAAAGGCCATTAGGACAAAACTGAGGTTTCTCCGAGGAGAAAATTCTGCATCAAGACTTTAGCATCAGCTCCTGCGCCGTGATTCCAGACGCGCCAGCCTCCGCCATGGCCCAACCAGCTTCTCGAAGGATCTGTATTGGAGAATCCCGACTGACATCTAGCGTGTCCAACTGGAACTCCCGTTCTCCCCCACATCCCACCTCCCTGCTGTCGTCCTCATCTCAGATATGGCAGCTCCATCCTTCCATTTGCCCAGACCAAAATCCTGGGAGCCATCCTCGAATGTCCCTTTCCTTGCACATCCCACGCAACCCATAATCGAATACCATTGGCCTTATTTTAAAAATATGTCCAGGCCTTGACCACTTCCCACCACCTCCAAAGGACCACCCTGGGCCCAGCCACCATTATCTCTCACCTGGATTATTCTAGTAGCTTCCTCCCTGGTGTCTTCGCTTCACCCTTGCTTCTGCTACATTCTAATCACGATAAAGCAGCCAGAGTGGTACTTTTAAACTGAAAGTCAGATTCCGTCCCTCCTTCGTTCAAAACCCTCCAGCTGCTCTCCAGTAAGTCGTTACGATGGCCTCCAGGGGCCGACAATCCACGCCACCCCCGCCGCCCGCCCCAACTCCTATCAGCTTTCTCTATCTACTGCCTCAGGACCTTGGCATTGGCTGCTGCTTCTTTCTGGAAGTTCTTACAGGCACCCACAAAGCTCATGTTCTCGCTTACTTCATTGTTTCATTGTTCAATTCAGCCATGGTTCAAACCCGGCCTTATCAGCGAGACCCATTCTGAATCCTGCTTAAAACTGTAGACACACGGCCCTTCCACGCTCGGCCTTCCTTCCCCGACTCAGTATTTCCCTCCACAGCACATAACCTCCTAATGCGCCCTGCCTCTCTTACTTAAATACCTATTATTTGTCTCCCACACTAGAACGTCTAAAAAATAGTGTGTGTTGTTCACTGATGTGCCCTCGGCATCTAACGGTACCTGTCACGTAAATATTTGTTGAATAGTTGAATGGAGTTCAGCACTGAGAGAGTGCCCGCCGCGGGTGAGGCATACAGAGACACAAGGAGGCAGCAGTATTGCGTGAAGGGGTTTATTCCGGGGTGTGCGTAGGGCACTAACTCTGCGTGGGAGGTTAGAGAAGCATCACAGAGGATGATGTTCTACGTGGGAGAAATGGCAGGAACCTCGCGGTGAGTTGCTTTGGGCACGGTCATTCATCTCCGTGTCACCAAGACCTGGATAGTGCTGGGTGCTCAGGAAAGGTGTCCATGACACTGTGTAAAGGGGCTCAGGGACTGCCAGCGGCGCCGAGCTGTGCCTGGACGAGCTGGAGGAGAGGCAGGTCATCCCAAGAGGAGGGACTTTTTAAAAATTCTGAATTTAATGAAAAGCGTTAAGGGTTTTAGGCAGGATTTTTTTTCCTAAGCAAGCCCCCTTGACCCCGACCGGAGAGTGATGTGTGCATGGGACCAGGAAAAGGTGGCAGAGGCTGCCTAGGGGTTGACTCTGGCTGTCTTGGTGAGCTGGTTGGAGCCTAATGGGACTGGACAGGTGCTGAGGAGTGTCAGGGGTGGGGGGAGGAAGAGATAGGGCTGGTGGCCCAGTGAACCTGGGCGGGGGAGAGAGGAAGTGTGGGATGGGCCTCAAGCCTCTGCACTGCAGTGTGATCAGCTGGCATGGGGAACGTGGGTGCGGTGCAGGTTTGGAGGGGATGATCAGTTCTGTTTGGGACACGTTGCATTAGACATCCTTGGGGTGTGTCCGGGTGGGGAGACCCAGTAGCGAAAGGGGAACAAGGAGTCTGAACTGGCGGTGCACTGTCCCCACAGAACCTCTTCACCCCCATCCCTGGCTCCAGCGGTCCCGCCCGCTGTCCCCGTGGCTGGGTGATGAGCCTGCTAGGGCGAGAGGCGGGTCTTCCCCGCGTGTCCCAGCCAGGCCGGATGCTGCCCAGAGAAGGTCCTGCGAGTACGTTTGCTGAACGAGTGACGCGATGTCCTTGGTGAACCGGTGGGAGTGGAGGCCATGGGCACGGAGGACACTGTCCACGGAGACCTCTGAAGATGGAAAGGAGAGCACTTGCAGGAGACGAGGAGCAGCGGCGGCGAGGGGGGAGGGGGCGGGGAAGCGGGAGCTCGGCTACCAGGGCCGGAAGGAGGTGTCGCCAGTGACTGGGCAGCAGAGGGCACGTGGCATGGGCCTGACCACGGCTCTGCTGTCCTGGCGTGGGCATCTCCTAAGCCCGCCCCCCCATGTCGCTACGGCAGGGGGCCTCACACTGAAGGCCGCCCCCACAGGCTGAGGCACCTCCTGTCCCCAGGGGGTTGACAGTCCAGCAGGGAAAACCACACGTGCCATCCGCTCTGTGTCTTACCTTCTCATGCTGGGTCCGAGTCCGCCACGAGCGCTGGGGAAACCTTCGGGCAGAAGCATCCGCCAGGCCTGGGGCAGGCCGGGAAGGGGGGCGGAGGACCCGGCCTCCAAAGGCACCTGAGCGGAGGTGAGGAGGGAGCACGCGCCGAGTGACCTCGGGGCAGCGGCGAAGGGGCGGGGCTGCGCGCTTGGCATCGCGGGGGCCCATGGCACGCTCGCCGCAGAGCGAGCTTCCTGTGCGCCCTCCCCTCCCGCAGGTGAAGAAAGTCGCACTGTGGCCCCGGAGGCTGAGTCCGTGGACGGCGGTGGCGGCGCCGAGAGCCCGATCCCAGCCCAGTGCCCTCGCCACCACCCCATGGGGCCCCACAGCCCTTGGCCTCGAGGTCATCAGGGAAGCCACTAGAGAGGATGCCTACAGAGATGGCGCTCGAAAACTGACAGCCAGGCCTCGGGGTCCGGGAGTGCTGGGTGATGGGAGGAGGCCAAGGAGCCAGCAGAGGAGGAAGAAAGAGCTAGAGAAAGCAAGTAGCTCCCAGGAGAGGAGCCAGAGCAGACGGGGCTGCCAGTGTCTGTCAGCGGACGGGCAGGTAAAGAAATCGTGGTCTATACACGCAGCGGAATAGCATTCGGCCTCGAAAACAAACGAAATCCTGTCACGAGTTACAACGTGGACAAACCTCGAGGACATTATGGTGAGTGAAACAAACCAGTCACAGGACATACTGTGTGATTCCCCTTACACGAGGGACCTAGAGTCGTCACATCACAGACATGGCCTGGGAGGGCAGCTGCTGGGGGCTCGGGGGCTGGGAGCTGTGGTTGCAGGTTCTCAGTTCTGCAAGGTGAGAAAGTTCTAGCGGCCGAGTACACGATGATGTGGCCACAGCCAACGCCACTGGCTGCGCACCTACGCGCGGCTCAGAGGACGCATTTTGTAGCATGTGCTTTTAACCACCTTTGAAACGTCTCTTAAAAACTCAAAACAAGAAGCCACAGAGGGGAGTTGTGAATTTAGGGGGGCCAGGGGTGGAGGCCGCACAGGTGTCAAGGTCAGTCAGGGCTTGTGGGTGATTGTGAAGTCATCTGCGCAGAGAGGCGGGGCAAAGCCAGACCGCGGGGTGCAGGGAGCACCCCTGGGTGGGGAGCAGCCGGCCAGACCCTCTCTCGTGTGTGGTACTAACAGGAGAGGAAGCAAGGCTGGAGGGAGCAGGCCGAAAGGGTGCAGTTTGGAGGTGTTGTCTTTTTCCTGCAGAGAACAAAATACCTAGCGCCCCCGAGGGTGGAGAGGGGAGAGGAAGCTGAGGGGCTGAAGTGAGGGGACAATGTGAGGGCCCTCTGCAGAGAGGGGTGGCCTTGGCTGGGAGAGGGACACGTGCCCGTGTGACAGGAGGGAGGGCGGGAGGGGGTGTGGGGGTGCAGATGGCTGGTCGGAAGCTGGACAGAGCGGCCGGGCGGGGGTGGGGGCAGGGGGAGGAGGTGCCTGGTCTTTCTATAAATCCGATCCACCAAGAGCTGAAACCGGCTGCTGCAGGAGGGGAGAGGGACCGAGCTGGAGTCGCGAGCGATGTGGGCGAGCAGGTGGGGGGGCGGGGCAGCAACGCGGGCACAGCAGGGAGACCCGGCCAGCCGGTCAGCACAGAACTCGAAGTCTGAGGTACGCTGCAGCGGAGGGGAGGGTTCTGGGGGGCGCTAGCGGGGCAGGGGATGTGGCTTGGAGTTCTAGCGAACAGTCGCCCCACACGCCCAGCCCTCGTCCCTTGATGTCCTCGGATGCCTGCTCCCCGCACACCCCGCAGTCCTCCGCTGGAGCTCTGACAAACGCGGCACTCATCATAAGCTTTGTCTTTTTAATAAAAAATAAACTGTCTGTGACAAGCAAGTTTCTGAATCCCAAAACAAAGGGGAGGAGAGAGGTCAAAGGGTCAGCCAGATGAAGGCGCAAACAGGCTCAGGTCAACTCGCCATTCCGGCCGGGCCAGAAGGGACGCAGCTTGCTCCTGAAGCGAGACCGGAGGTCAGACTGCGGGAGGGACTCCCCCGGGGCCAGCGGGGCACAGCGTCCAGGGCAGCAGGAGGGGCAGCTCCCTGCAGACCCCCAGGAGCGGGCAGTGTCGGGTCCCAGGTGGCAGCCGCTCAGAGTGAGTCTCCAGGAGTGACATGCTAGCTCGTGGTTGCTCAGAAGCTCCGTGTTCACTGTCACGGGTGCCTGGAACAGCCACGCGTCGTAGGGTCTCCCGGAGCAGCTTGTTTTAGAGGGTCCCCTCCAGGTCTTCCTCTCACAGTCAAGGTCCAGGGCCGGGGTGGCCCCCATATGCTTGGTAGAAAGCCGCCCCATGCGGGAGCCGGCGCTGTGCCCGGCCCACTGAGGGGTGGAGAGGCTCCTCTTGGGGGAGACAGTGTCCTTTGTGCGACGCCACCCTGCTCAGGTCCGCACCGCTCCGGGCCCCCGGTTGGCATGGCCAGGCGCCATGCCCCACCCAGCCTGTGCCCAGAGCTCACACCACCTCGGTGCCCAGGTGGTCGCTGTCGGCGCCCACGCTGCTGGCAGCGGTCCTGTGGTCGTTGGGAGGTGGGAGGTGCTGCTCCCTGCTGAGGGGGGCCTTCTCCCCAGGCGGCAGGGTCCCACAGCCCTGGACCTTGCCTCGGCCTCGCAGCGCCCCCAGTGGGGCGACCAGGAGGAGGATGAGGGCTCCGGAGAGCACCAAGGCCAGCAGCACAGTGACGGTGAGGAAGTGCGGCCAGTACGATCGCTGGGCGGCCAGGGCAGCCCCGCCGCCCACCCTGGTCAGCGGGGCCTCCACACGCTCCCGGGGGATGCCCGCCAGGTCAGGGGCCAGGGCCAGCGGCTGGTCCTGGCTGTCCACCCAGTAGGAGACCACGGGGTACGAGAAGCCGTTCTCGGTGGCCCAGCACTGGTAGAGGCCGCCAGCCCCGTCCCGCAGCACCAGCAGCAAGGAGCCGTTGTAGACCACGGAGGAGGCCCTCGGCGCCGGAGCTGGGCCCTGACCCCAGTGGTAAGAGGCCAGGGCTGAGAGGTGGGGGCAGGGGAGCTCCAGGATGGAATTGGGGACAGCCAGGACTTCTTTGACTGCGGGCGGAGGCAAGGGGGCAAAGGTTAAGAGGGGAGGGCAGAGGGAGGTGGGAGAGGGTCTCTACCCTACGAGTGGACCCCCGACTCACACCTCCAACTCCCCTGTCAGCTCCCAGCTCAGCCCCGAGCCCTTCCCCCGCTCTAGTTTGGACCCCAAACTATCCCGCAGTCCACCTGAGCCAGCTGACGCCACGACCAACTTCACCTTCCATCCCGAGTCCCAGCCTGGAGCCCCCACCCCTCTCCCTACAGCCAGGACCCAAACCCCCCCGACTCTGGGTGTGGGGGTCTCAGCCAGGCAGGTGCTGGGGGAAGTGACGAGGCGAGAATGCCCACCTTGCCCAGAAGTCCCCCCGAGCCCTTGCGTCCCCGGCCCCACACTCACTGATTTGGGGGCGGCTATGAGACCGCAGGCTCCTGCCCATGGGGCCGTTGGCACACGCCCAGCCAGGGTTCCCTTGCTCCACGTCCTGCCTCCAGGATCTCCTGAGAAAGCGGGAAAGCAGCATCTCTGAAGCACACGAGGTGGCACGAGGGAGGGAGCTGTGGGGACGAGGGGGCGGGGCACGAGGCAGGACATAGAGAAAGGACCCGGACGCTGGAGCAGCTTCAGAACTGTGGGTGCAGCCCATCCTGAAGGGGGGTCTTGGAGGGAACGCGTCTGGGGCCCCAGAGGGAGGAAGGACAGGGGCGCCGCTGGGCAGAAGGGGTCCTGGTACCGTCCAGGACGGGCACTCACGGGACGGGGGTGCGCAGCAGGCGGCAGATTCGGGACTCGGGGTCCCAGGCACAGTGGGGGTCCCGGGCAAGGACGCAGTCCATGCAGCTCTCATAGACACTACAGTTGGCTCGGGGAACCCTCACGACGCCTCCTGAGAAGCCCGCAAACACTGCGCCCTGGAAGAGAGACCGAGTGTCCGGTGCTCCCGCGTGCCTGCCCAGGACCCCGCAGCCCAGGCCCACCGCCCCCGGAGGCCCCTCCGCACCTGGGAGGGAGCCAGCTGCAGGTTGAGAACAGGTTCGGGCCTGGGAAACAGCTGGACCTCCTCCACCAGATGTGCTCTGCTGTCCCCACTCACCACGGCCTTGTGCAGGGCGCCTGTGGCTGTGGGGAGACAGAGAGCTGAACGTGTCCGACCTCGTGCCCCGGCCCCCCGTCCTCTCCCGCCCCGACCCGGATGGCCTCCCCGCCGTCAGCGTTCTTCCCGGAGGGCCGCAGGGACGGAGCGTTCTAGTAAACGGCCTGCAATCCCTGCCCCTCAGTCCTGCTTTGCAACCGCCCGACCAAACTCCGTCCCCAAAGGAACCCAAGTGTCCGCATTCTCCGGGGACGTGGGGCAGTGGACGGCCGAGCGCTCCCGTGGGCAAGCATGTCGCCCGCCTCCCGCCCTCCAACGAGTGTTTCTGCTCAAAGGCACTTCGGGAAGTTCTGCCCCGACCACCCTTTAAAGACTGTGGCCGCCCTGCCTGGCGTCGAGGACCCCGCTCATGCTGGACTGATCTCCTCTCCTGACGCCCTGCGTCGCTTACTGCCTGTCACCCCGCACCCCACAAGGCCAAGCTGCTCTCCGCTGCATACCCCACATGGGCACCAGTCACGGGGCTCCTCCCACTAAGGCTCGGGGTCACCCACGTCACCAGGCCTTCCGCACATACGCTCGGCAGCCCCCACACTCCCCCGACTCTCCCTCCCTCTGCCCTCAATGACCGCAATGACCACTTGAGTCCACCCCACTCCGCACACCTCCCACCTGTCGGCCTCACTCCCAGCTCAAGACCTGTGTCCTCCGTCCTCACGGAGAGCATGAAGCCGTCACACAGGGCTCCCCTTGCTTCCGGCCCACCCCCCAGGTCACGCCCCCCACCCCGTCTCACCCCACTCGACTCCTCCGCTGCCAGCAGAGCCGCTGGCCCTCCTCTGTTCGTGGCCCGGGCCTCTGGCCTCCAGCTCCCTCTCGCTGCGACTCCGCCTGCCAGTTATCCACCACCTCCATCTCCCCCTCCGCTGGACCATCACAGCCTTTCCCGTATTTAAGGGAAGGCCGTCTGGACCCCACACCCTCCTCCCGTCGCCCCCTCCCCCTTCAGAGCCAAGCTTCCTGAAGGAGCGACGTCTGCACTGGCTGCGTCCAGCTCCCCTCAGCCCGCTCCCTCTTCACCTCCAACGTGGCCCCGCAGGAGAAACGGCTCTCGCTGAGGCCACAAAGCCCTTGCGTGCGTCTCCCCGACCAGACGAAAGCTCAGAAAGCACAGGGACCGGGCTCTTGTTTCGTCACTGCATTTTCAGAGCCTAGCAGGGTGCCCGGCACGTAGCAGGTGCTCAGAAAACATTTCTTGAATGAATGCACGAATGAACGAACGCGAAGGTTTCAGCCTGAGTGAGTGGCAGCCCCTGCCCTAGTCCCCTGAGGGATGTCCTGGGGCCCTTTACTCACTGGTGCCCAGGTACATGACCAGATGGCTGTGCCCATCGAGGTCCTGGGCGGCCTCCACCGCCAGTCGCGTGTACTCCACGCCGGACTTCACCAGCAGGGGCGTCCCTACCACCTGCTCATCCATCAGGAAGTGGGCCTTCATGAAGGTCAAGGCTTTATCGGAGGAGGGGCCCACCGAGCACTGCAGGGGAAGGAGGCAGGTCTGGTCAGCTTGCTCCCTCCCTCCCCCTCCCTCCGGAGGGTGCGTAGTTGGGAGTTGCCTGTCTGGGAACCCCAGCACCCCAACGCCTGAGGCTCCGAAACCGTGAACTGGGCGTGATGCCAGCGCATGGCAGGCTGGCCGTGAGGATGAAATGAAAACCACACACAGGGGAATTAGCAGAGCGGTTGGCGTTGACGAAAGACTCGACAGACGTTGGCTGTTCCGCCTTTGCGCCCGGTCACCCTCATCAAGGACTTCCGGCAGCCGGCAGGAAGCATGTCAGTTGCCCCAGGCTCAGCACAGGACCTGGCACACAGCTGGTGCCCAATAAATGTTTGCCGAGTCGGTGACTGAATGAAGGGTGGACAGAAAGGGGTGGTGTGGCAGGGAGTGTTTCTCATCACGGCCTGCGGGGACTTGCCGCAGGCTGTGGGACAAGCTCTTCTCCATCTGGGCCTCCTTCTCCTCACCCATAAAGTGAGGGGGTTAGACCAGCTGTCTCTAGTGGCCCTGCCAACTGCAGCGTGCTGTGGCTCGGGGACACCTGTGTCCCAGTCTTCGGTCAAGATACCTGTCCTCCAGGCCCAACAGCACTGTCTTAGGGCCAGCCCCCACTCTGTCACCTGCAAGCTGTGTTCTCAGACAAGTTCCCCTCGCCCCTGGCACAAGCTTCAAGTTCCTCATCTGTCAAGCGAAGTAAAAACACCCACATCTCATTCTGATGCTAGGATGCGCACACGTGGTGGCTACTCTCACTTCCTCCCAAAGGGATTTTATTTAAAAGGTATAAACTACCACAGGTGGGGGACAGGAGAGGAGGCAAAAGCCCCACATTTGGGCAGCTGGAAGGCGAACGGACAAATAGTAAAACACTCAGCAGAAAAAGAAAAAAGTCTCCTTAAGCTGGCCCCGGGGTAGCCCGCGACCATCCCATTTCTAAGGTGGAATTCCTAAAGTTCATGAATCAGTGGCCCCGGTCACTCCGGAAGCGGGGGAGAAGGTGGGCCGAACGATCGGCATCATGTGAAAGTCTGTTTAGAAAGCAGGCAGATTTCCTCCCAGCTCCATGCAGCTGAGTGACTGTCCCTTCCATGCCCTGGCCCAAGACTGGAGGTTTACTCTCCGGAGAGGGCAGGACAGAGGGTCTCTGGATGGAGGGCGGCAGGCGAGGTGGAGGGGGGACCGCACCGTGAAAGCAGCGGAGGACGTGCAGGCAGGCACAGGACAGGCCGAGACTTCCCCACACCAACGTGCTTCCCCGCCGGACTGGACCACTCGCCTCCAAGCAGAGGACTAGAGGATTGTCCTCTGGGGACAGACTAGAGGTCCAAGAGGAAAGACCTGAACATACTAGCATTAAAGGTCCCCAACAAAACAGCTCAGCCAGACCGTCCTCAGCAGAGCCACAACAGAACTCAAGTTGCCAAGTCACACCCACGGCCACAGACTTTCCCAACAGCACCCCGGTCCCCCGCTCTCAGATGTGAGTAGACAACCACAATCTGGCAGATGCTTGAGTAAAACCACGATCGTGAGAGACCAAAGCCAACACACAGGAAAAACGAATAAATCATAAAACCTAAGAGGAAAAGAAACGGAGAAAAGGCAAGTTCACAGCCAAGTCTCGTCACGACCGAAGGGAGGAAGGTGAAGACGGCGTCTGGATGAAATGACGAAGCGCCACAAAGGAGGCGTTCGGACTTCGGGAGGGCAGCCGGGCACACACACACATGCAGCCACGGACACGCACACATGCAGCCGGGCACACGCACGCATGCAGCCACGCAACCATGACACGGTCATCCTGTTCCCCCTCCCCCGCCCCCAACTCTAATCTGATCGAGTCTCCGGAGCCGAAGACGACGTTACAGAGAAATACTAAGATGCCACCACCGACATGCAGGATCCTCACGATCCAGATGGTGGAAAATTTTACACGACAAATAACTTACAAGAGAAAAAAAGGAAGACAGAAAGAGACCATCTAGATTGAAAGAGACTTAAAAGAACCAATGCAAACTTACAGCTCTCATTTGGATTTTGATTCCAATAAATAAACTGTCTTTTAAAATACTCTTATGACATCTAGGAGACGATTAGAAATCTGAACACTAAAAGGCATGGTAGATCAATGCGTCATGAATTTGGGGCTGTGATAATGGTACTATGGGTATTTTTTTAAGCTCTTACCTTTTGGGGATGCACGCTAAACTATTTACGGATGATGTAGTGGCCTGGATGGTGCCGCCCCCCAAAAGAAGTCCATCTAAAACCCGTGAATGTGACTTTATTTGCGAAAAGGGTCTTTAAAGTTTGAGATGAGCTCATATGAGATCACGATGGCTGAGTAGGAGCTGGCTGATGGGTATATAAAGGTCCAGTACACTCTTCTGGCTACTTTGTGTATGTTTAAAATTCTCCATAATAGAACATTTTTCTAAAAGAGATATTCAAAGCTCAAAAAAAAAAAATCTAGGAAAGTATATATTTTAGCAGAAGTTAAAAATCTGCTAGGAAGGTCAGAAGAGAAAATGGAGACGCTCTTTCCAAAAAGCAGAACAAAAGCAAAGCCTTCGAAAGTAGGAACAGACGTAAAAAGTTAGGGGAGCTCTAGAGAGACGTGAGAAAGCATCGTAGCATTAGAACGTCAGCTCCATGAGGAGCCTGTGTCTGTTTTGTTCATTCCCGCACCCCTGGTGCCCAGAACGCTGGCATGTGGCTTCAGAAAAAGAGCTGTCCAACAAAAAGGAAATAGAAGGAAATAGCCCAAGAAAACTTCTTAGAACTGAAGGAACTAAATTTCCAGGCTAAAAGGGCAAACTGGACGTCCAGTACAATTAACGAACAGAGCTCCACCAAAGCACAATATTGTGACGGGTCCAGAACAGCCAAGAACAAAGAACAGGCACCGCAAGATTCCAGTGAGAGAAAACAAACAAACAAATAAAAATAAACGGGTGGCACTGGAGGCATTGGGGATTAGAAGAGGTTTGGCGTCCTCGACAGCGTGCAGCAGCGCTGGACGCTAAAGATCGTGGAGCGAGCCCTCCGAGTTTTGAAGGAAGATTATTTCTAGTCGCGAATGACACGTGCGCCGCCAAACTGTCCAATGCGAAAGGAGAATAAAGGGATTTTCAGACGTTTAAGGTCTCAGAAGATTTTCCCGCTGTGCACCCCCTTCCAGGAAATCTCTGGAGGCGACTCTCCGCCAAAATAAGATGGGGAAAAAAGCAGTAGCAGCAGCCACGGACACAAGAAACACGAGTGATCACAAGAAACAGCCACGCCACCCTGAACGCGCCCCATCCCGTCTGATCCCGGAAGCTAAGCAGGGTCGGGCCCGGTTGGCACCTGGATGGGAGACCTCCTGGGAAGACCGGGTGCCGTAGGCGTTAAAGAAAAAAGAGAAGAAAAAGAGAAACGGGCAGAGGGAACGCCCAGAACAACGCAGAAGGGAGATGCAGGCGGCACCCGTGCCCGGATGTAGAGGGCCCTGGTCCAGGCTGCAGGAGACAGGGAGGGGCTCCGGGGAGCTGAAACTCCAGGGGTCTGCCTCTCAGAAGAGATTCAGATGATTGAAGAAGGGGTTAAAAACAAGAGCTTAGGAAACAAAGCAAGCAAAAAGAAAATAAATCAAGATAATGACTAACCCTTGGGAAAATAAAAATCTATGCAAGAGGAAAAGTAATCATGGCGTACTACGTGGCTGATCTGTGAATAATGAGTCACAGTATAAATACTGATCTAACCAAAATGGCCATAAAACTGCTAGGAGGTGAGGGGTGGGGGTGCTGGCGTGTTGCTAAGGCAGCTCTGGGCAGGGGAGCGGGGGAGCCCTGGTTTGCGGTGTTTGCCGGTTTCCCTGGTTTATACTCCGCCAGGGCTGATTTCAAGACACCTGTGTCACATCGCTGGGCACGAATTTGGAAAGAACCGCACAGAGAGAGTTCTTGCCGGTTGCCGCAGGCCGGCCCCAGGGCCCCACCGCCTGGGGCCACAACCAAACCCTCCCCTTCAAGAAAGGAATTCAGCAGGCACTGCCTGGGACTGAAACGTCAAGCAGCAGCTATCGAACTATGTACCTAAGGGTGCGGAGATAAACGTCGGAAGGGTCAGCCAAAGAGGCGAAAAAAAATACTCCAGAGGAAAGAGTGGAGGGCAGGGAACGGGGGGTCGTGCCGCCGCCAGCCCCGTTCATCTATCTGACTCCTTCAGTGGGGCACCAGGACAACTCAGATCAAAGGCGAATTAGAGAAGAAAGGCAGAGACACCCAACACAGTCCTCGGCACAGCCCACAGTGGCTCAGCGAGAGCCCAGGCGTCTGATGTGAACGTAGCTGGGTGGAGGGGGCCCGCTGCGTGACAGATGCAGCTGGACACCTGTAGAATGTGGGCAGCCAGACTGGGGGTACATCTGAGCAGACAGGACTGGTGGAAGCACGAGCATTCACTGGCATTTATTATGCCACCATAGGTGCTTTGATGAGTGCACTGTGTATCTCTGGTGGGGAGGGGCTTTGTTCAGTGTGTGTGTGTGTGTGTGTGTGTAGGGGGTACTCACGCTGCCTGGCCGAGGACTGATATCGTCGGGGACCCCGTGAGTAGTCCAGCGTGAAGTCTCTTTGTTCAACTCCTTGTACTTCCCCTCGAAGGCACGCTCGATGTCCTTGAGAGAGAAGGCACAGACAGCGGAGCTCCTGGTCCCGCCGATCTGCCTGGAGCCGGCAAGAGGGGACATCGTCCGTGATCTCCTGGGCTGTACCAGGAAGCTCCCCCTCCAGCCCTGGCCCAGCCTCGGTGAGAAGCCCCAGGAGAGCAGGAGTGCGGAGGGCTGGGCCAGCCTCCCGCTGCCTCTCCTGCCCCCAGCTGTGCTGGTAAAGGCTAGGAGGCCCGCTGACTCTGGCCCATCTTAGAATCTCAAGTGTGATTATCTTTAATATGAGAATTCACTGGGGTGGGACCGGCTCCTGCGGGGCTCCAGATGGAGTCTCCTCCTTCGGGTCCCACAGAGAAACCACCAGAGCCTGAGCACAAGGCTGTACTACTTCACCCTGGTCTGTGGAGACAGGAGGCCTGTCTCCCTTGTTCCCTTTAACCTGACTGTGGCACGCACCATGTTCTCAGACCCAGACACCAGACCCTGCCTACACCAGGTATCTTTCTGACCTGGCTTGTGGGCAGGTCTCTAAAATGCGGTGCGGCCGGACGGCAGCAAATCAGTTACCCTTCCTTAGCCTCCAAGCAACGGCTATATTTTTTGTCTTATGATGCCAACGGTGTTTCCCTCTTTGCCCTGGCCACTAGGAAGCTCGCAGCTAAATCTGTGCGGCACCCAGGGACTGCAAAGATGAGGAATGTGCTGACCCCTCCTTACCCTTGGCTTCGCCGATTCTCCTTTAATTCCCATCTCCTTATGGGCGTTCTTTTAACAGTTGCCTTCTGTAAACTGCCTCCTGGCCTTTTGGAACCAGGCAGGATGTAAAACTAGTAGGACCCTCTCAGAGCTTTATTTTTTCCGCCTACACGAAAGGCACGATCGAACGACCTCCTACGAGAGGCGCGTGCACGTGTTCGGCCCACGTCCGCCCCATCCACGCGGGTGCCAGGGCGGCGCACGGGCGGGCCCCAGAGCCCGCGCCCACCCCCGCATCCCCGGGACTCACCACTGAGAGGTGAAGACTGCGTAGACGTGTTGATCGGAGGAGAAATTGGCCGGCAGCAGGACGGCGTGGCGGATGACGTTGAAGGGCAGCTGCCCCGGCTCGGTGCAGAGCAGCTGGGCCTTCAGGAAGGTGGTCCACTTCCTCTGCAGCAGCCTCTCACCGCCCACGTCGTTCTAGGGGCGCGGGCGGAGTCAGGGCCCCGCGCCCCGCCCTTCCCCTCTCCCATTGGTCCCTAGGCTCTTGGCCCCGCCTCCGTCATCTCACCATTGGCTCCTCCACTGCCAGCCCCGCCCCCGGCCCCGGAGGCGCACCTTGCAGACGCGGGCCACCCGGGACGTGCGGAGCTTGTCGAAGAACTCAAACTCGCTGGCCGTCTCCTCGAAGAAGAAGTAGACAACCTGGGTCGAAGGGATGGCGGCGACGAAGGAGGCGTCCGCTGCGGGGGCGGGCAGAGAGGCTTAGCGACTGAGCACCTGGGGGCCCCTTGCTGCAAACCCTGGGGTTGGCTCCCGAGGCCAGGAGAGGGGAGACCTCGGGGTCCCACCGCTGGTGGAGGGTGGCCGTGGGGGCTGGGCGGAGGGGACTGGGACTCCTTTATTTGCGGGAGACCAACGCTTCGCGAGGACGGGGCCGGTCTCCCTCCCTGCGGTACCCCAGTGCCTTGAACACAGCATGCGGTCAACACTTGAGAGTCGAGCGAGCGGCCAGCTCTCCGGCTCCGGGAAGGGCCAGGTCTGCGCTGGGCGGAGCTCCGGCACTTACGTTGCAGCCAGAGGAGGAAAGTGTCGGTCTTGAGGACGGGCTGGGGTCCCAGCGTGCGGATCAGGATGGGCTCGTTGCCCAGGAAGTTATTCATAGTGCCCGAGTAGAGCGTCCCGTCTGGGGGACAGAGAGGCGACCAGCTGCAGGCGCCCTGCCCCCTCAGACCTGCCTCTGACCGCCTGCCCTCACATCGGTCTCTGGCCCTTCCTCAGTTCTACTCTGCCCTGTGGAGCCCCGAAGCCCAGCTCGCAGCCCCGCCAAGCGCCCTGCTCCTCCTGCCCACAGAGCACGGCCCCCCTCCCGCCCTCCGTGTCTGGCACGTCCCCAGCCTTTGCCTGGCTACACCCCACATCTGGCTACACCCCACAGGGCCAGCCCAGCCACTTGCCAAGCAGAATCACTCGTTGTTCCCGACAGGTGGCCGCGTTTGCTTCTGCACCTTGGGTCCTACCTTCCTCTTCTTGGGGCTCCCGCCCAGCCCATCTACCTGTCTTTCGAGGTCCCACTGAAAAGCCAAAGGCCACCTCCTCCGAGAAGCCAGGCTGAGAAGTCCGTAATGGTTTGTGTCCCAGAGGGCACGGGGCCGGGATGTCTCCCCTGTAACCCCACAGTTCTCAGCACACGGGGGCACACCGGAGCAAATGACTGGCTCTCAGGCCTCTCGTCTCCCTGACACCCCTCCCAGCCCCTCCTCCTCTGTGTGTCTCCCCACTTCCATCTCTCGCCACCTCCTTCACGGCAGCTTCGGCAGGAACCTTTGATCTTGTGTCCTGAAGCCTTTATACCCCTCCTTCTGTCCCCTGCCTTTCAGGAAACTCTGTCAGAGTCCATAGGTCACAGAGTGACCTGGGAAAACAGATGTTGGGGTGGATCAGGGAACCGGATACTCACCCACCAAGACAGCCGTGTGCTTGTGCGTGGGGTCGAAGGGGCTTTGGCCTTTCCCCTCCACCACCTTGTCCTCTGAGATGGGCAGCAGGTGCGAATCTCTGAGCTCCTGATGGGAGGGGGGAGTAGGGGTGGCTAGAAGGCCAGAGTCCCATGTCTGGAACATGTGGGGAGCGGGGGAGGAAGGGACAGGGACACAGAGGGAAATTGAAGCTCACGGGGCTCTGCCTCTGGACGCCAGCGGTTTCCAGAGCTGCGGGGGATGGGCTGGGAGCAGACGTGAGCAGGGAGGCTGGGGGCCTGAGCGCTGGGTACTAGGAAACTCACAATGAAGGTGCAGGCGGGGCTGAAGGCGAAGGTACCGCAGGCATAGAGGTGGGTGGCATTCAAAGAGACCAGCACACGGATAAAGTTGAAACACTGTGTCTGGGGGAGGTAGAGAATTCAGGATAGAGAGAATTCAGGTCTCCAGGCCGCTTGCCCCAAACTCTTGGGCCCCTGGAGGCTGCCAGCCCGCCTGAGGTCAGCCAGTGCTGGTCTGGGGACACCAGAGTTCTCTCCTCGGGCCGCTTACCCCTCTGCTTACCTCGTTGTTTTTCTTAAAGGCACATTCTCTCTTTTTTTTGTCACTGGCCGGCCAGGGGATCTGAAATGGAGAGTCGGGAGGGGGAAGAGAAAGGGACGTGAGGTGCCCAGCTCTGAGAGCTTTGACCTGCCATCCACTTCTTCGCTCTGGCGTGAAATCACCAGCAGGCAAGACCCGCTGAGGGCTGTAGCAACGTCGGCCGGCGACCAGAGCTGTTCCCCGGCTGCTGCTGACGCTCATTAGGACACAGCTCCACGTCAGCACGTGGCCGTGGGATCGGACCTGGGTGGGTACCTAGGCTCAGCCACTTGATGATTGAGTGAACCCGATCCGTTTCGCAGGCTTCTGGAGGGCACAACTAGGTGGCATATGAAAACCACCTAGGGTAATATGTGGTGTACAGAGCAGCTGTTGTCAGACCGCACATTTCAGGGAAAATCATTTAAAATGTCAGCTCCTGGATCACACTTCAGAGAACCTGCATTTTCACCAGCATCCTATCCGTGCGGGTGGCCCGCAGACCACACCGAGACAAACGAACCGGGGGACGCTCCGCCGCGGCCGGACGCGCCCGCCCCTGTCTCTTCCCTCCCTCACGTCGTTGCCTGTGCGAGGTGACTATGATTGACCACTGAAGCTCCGGCGATTCCTGCGAGCGGGCGGATACGTTATCGGCGCATGAGTCAGTGTTTCTCCCGTGTCGAGGATTTCAGCCCTTTTAGCAATAAATGCTATTTGACCGGTCCCCGTGCTGCCGATGCATGGTGAGGCCGGGGGAGCCGTCCTTGGCTGTTGTACGGACCAGATCTATGTAGCAAGTCCCGCTGACTATTGTGGATACGGCGGACCCCACCCCCTGCGCAGTCGAACATCCGCCCATAACTTTGGAGTCCCCCAAACTTAACCATGGCCGTCCTTCAGTATCCACAAGGGTTCCGGGCCCCCCACGGTGCCCGGGGTGGAACGATGCATACAGTTGCCCTTGGTGTTCACGGATTCTGAACCGTGGATCAAAAATACTGTTTTTGATCACCAGTCGCTTGAACTCACAGATGGGAAACCCAGGGGTACAGAGAGCTAACTGTATATTTACTGAAAAAAAAATCCTCAAATAAGGACCCGCATAGTTCAGACCCACATAGTTCAAAGGTCAACTGTAGAGGTAACAGTGATGGGGTGGTTATTCACCCACAGGCAGCCCGGGTGCAGGGCAGCTGCCGGCCCCCTCCCCACCCCCGGCCTGCACCCTCCATCCCTGGCCCCCTCACCATGCTCTTCAGCTGTGGCACACCTGGATCCCGGATATCCAAGGCCAGAACGGCCTCCCGGACCCCCACGTAGAGAGTGCCTCCATCAGCACTCAAGAGCAGAGTGTCGAAATCCTGGAGGCCCTTCTGGTGGAAAAGGCTCAGAGCCCTGCGGCCGTCCCCTGTTGGGAAGTGACGAGAAGTGAGTGACGAGTGACGAGTTGGTGGGCAGGCAGCTGACCTCTGAGACAGGAGTGGGGGAAGGGGAGGGTTGGCGGAGCGTGGTCTCTGGGCCTTGTGGGGGGAGGGGGGCACTCCTCACCAGCAGCTCCCCACACCCCGCCCTGCTGGGCTTTGTGTGCTGAGCCCACAGTAGAGAGGACAGGCGGCCAGAGACAAGGTAATGACAGCCCGGGGCTGGACGTAGGCGGCCCACACTGAGAGACAGACAGACAGACAAAGGGATCGGACATAAGGCGAGAGGCCATGGATGCTGGACAGCCGCGCTGAGGGGAGCAAGGCCCTCCAGGGCGGGTGAGCGGGAAGGTGTCAGCAGCTGCAGGCAGGAAAGCGAGACTCGGGCGGACGCGCATCTGAGCCGCTGTGGCTTGTGAGGCTCCGCTCTCGGCCCCACTTCCTTCCCCTCCCCCATCGCCGGAAATTTCCCCACTAGAAGGAGAGCCGGAGGCTGAGCAGAAGGGGCGTGTTTCTCCTGCGTCTCCGCGAGCATGCCTGATGTCCCCCGGGCAGAGGAGGTGAGCCTGGGCGCTCTGCGTCCCCTCGGCATCGTGACGGGGTGTGTGCGTCCCTGTCCCACTGGCCACCAGCAAGGGCAAGGCGCTCCCTCGTGGGCACACGCGACTTTTGCCTTCGTCGGAGGATCGACGGGCTGAGATGACCGCTGGAGGCCGAGTCTTCCACAGGCTCGCAGGAGGAGTGGGGAGCAGTGCGGCCAGGCGCTGGGAGCGCTGGCCTCCCCCAGAGCCCTGGGAACCCCCGTTAGGGAACCCCGACCACCGGCAGCGTGACTGTGGATGGCTCATCTGCTCGCCGTGGGACGCCAGCACCTTGCCGGCGGGGGGGCAGTCCTGAGTGGGGGACCTCCCAGGCCCCACATGGAGGAGGCCCCTCCCTCAGTGGGCATCACGAATTTCCTTTACCACGTCGCCCCCAAAAGAAGCTGAAGACACAGCCGTGTCCAGGAGCCCCTGCCCCACGCCTCCTACAGACCCTATGCTGGATCTTCCCGCGGAGACAGGAGGCCAGCAGCCCGCAGCCTCAGGAAGAAACCAGCCAAGCTGTGCCCGCGGGGACCCGCGGCCTGTACCCCAGCCGGGCCACCCTAAGTCCTCACATTCCTGTGGTACCGGACACGCCTGGCCCAGCACGATGTGTGGTTGGCTCGGGCCTGGCGTGGCCTGGGTCACCACGTCCACAGAAGTCCTTCCAGCATGGGCCTTGACCTTGGGGGCACCCGGGGACGTGAAAGCAGTCTGGGTTCGAGGTGCCCAGCCTGATGACAGTGAGGGTTAAGGAGGGAAGGAAGAGCCCCTGGTTTCGGAGAGCCAGGAGTGGTGCCCCGGCCCCCTCTCCTCCCTGGGCTTGGCCTTCACCCAGGTGGCGTCCGCTCGGTCCTGTCTGGGTCTGAAGCTCTGCTGCCGGCTGTCACGCGCCCTCCGCCTCTCGCCTCGGCCTCTCTGTTTCTCCGTCTGTTCCTCGCCCCACCCCTCCCGCTGGCTGTTGCCATCTCCACCCTTCTGGGTCATCGAACGCTTACCTGCGAGGTACTTGACCCTGGGCACGGGCCCCTGCCCACCCTCCCCTGCCGTCGGTGGCAGCAGCAGCAGCAGGCGGAAGAGGAAAAGGCCCAGGAGGCTCCAGGGGTCCAGGCCCGGGGCAGGAGGGGCCATGCTCAGCCTCAGGCCGTCCGCCGGCTCTGGGGAGACAGCGGCAGGCGCTCTGGCAGAAAGTCCTCACCACATCTGCCGCGGGACCAATCGGAGAGCCCCAGGCAGCAGAAGTGCGGGGGAGGGGGGTGCTGGGGGACAGTTTCCTCTTCAGAAAGTCCTCGAGTCTCACTTCCAGCGCTGGCACAGGGCACGGCCTTGGCCTGCCGCCTCGCCCCCGCTGTGGGAGTCCAGCTGTTACCCTCTGGTCTCCTATTTACAGCCGCTCCCCGCTTCCTCACCTCACTCAGGGAGGTCCTTGCCACCTGCTCCTTGCCTGCCTTCCTCCCAGGGCCCAGGGTCCAAACATCGCCCCTGAGCCCTGCAGGGGACTTCGTGGGGAGCAGATGTCTGCAAAGCACAGATCCCGCAGGCCCGACTCCCCCGGCACATTCGGCCCCTCACACTCACCCCCGCCCACCGATGACCCAAGCAGGCGGACCACGGCAGGGACTGGCTGGCTGTCTCCCAGCCTCCGCAGCTGCCCACCCTCTCCCTGGCCTCTGTGCCGCTGCTGTCTGTCCCCGGGGACCGCCAGCCTCCAGCCACCCGTCTCTTCTCACATACCCTCGAGCCAGCCACAGGGCAGAACCAGGCGTCCAGACTCCCGGGCTGAGGTGCCATCCGAGAGAAAGAAGTGAGCGGGGCTCCCAGGCCCCAGAGGCAGTGGGCAGAGGCTTAACCTGGCTGGGACGGGGGTGAGACCCCCCAGGTGCCCATCACTCTGAGCCGGCACCACAGAGGGAAACCAGAATTTCCACCTCTCGAGTTGTAACAGGTCCCGGGCTGGGGCGGAAGTTGGCAGATTGGGAGGGGAGTAAACGAGGACACACCTCTCTCTTCCCCTCCGTTCACCTCTGCCTTTCCAGAAAGTTTAAAAGGCCAGGACGTTTCTAGGTCGCTTCAGCCATTCCCCTGTCCCCCCCGCATCCCGTCTAACCAGCCGAGCAGCGGCGTCTCCCCTTGCTCAACATCTCCAGGCGGGGGACCCGGCCCCTTCTTTCGAGTCCCTCTTTCTGCTTACCACTCCCACCTACTGGGAAGTCTCTGCACTGGCCCGACTTTCGAAACTGCCACCTGTGGCGGGGCCATCGTCTTTTAGACGTGAAATGATTGTGCAGGGCTCTCCCCCGCGGCTTTGCTGAAGGAAGCCCCGGTGAGGCCCAATGCCCATCACCCCCATGGTGGCATCAGGCCGGTGGGAGACCCAGAAAATTTCCCATCTGAGCTCATACTACTGGAACACACTTCTGAGGCACCCAACTTCCCCAGGGTGGCTGGTCGCCCCTCCCCAAAGGGACCAGGGGAAAACTCATCGTGCAAGGTTCACAAGGCCTCCAGCACCCAGCTCCCCGACCTATAAAGGGGGCAGCTTCCTGCCTACAAGGCTGGAACAGCTGACTACCGTTTAAAGAGCACAGCCACCCCAAGGCCAATGCCACCCCGAGGCCAGTCTGACTCCAATAAATCTCCCGCCTCCTCCTTAAAGCACCTGCCTGACCATCAGGAAGTCTCTCCTGCTGTGTGGCTGCCCCTCCTTGGGCCGGGGCGTCAGCCTACCCAGGGACGGCTCGGCCCAGGCTGTCCCCTGCAATGCGTGTCAAAGGCTGCTCAGCTGCCTTTCCTTCTCGGTCATTTCCCTGTGGGGTGGTCTCAGCTGGACCCCCCCCTGACAGCTGTTTCTGTCCAGACTTGCCTAAGACTCCCCCAGACTCTCATGGAGGCTGGTCGCTGGGTCCTTGAGAGAAGCCATGGGCTGCCCCCCCCAACCCCAGAATGTTTTCCTGACTCTCAGAATCGAGGGGAACCCCCATCCGGACCCCGCCTTCTGTATCTCCCAAGCCCAGCTCAGATGTGGGCCCTACCCTGCCCCTGGGCCTCTGTGTTTGAACAGATTAGCTTATCTGGGTCACTGGGAGGGGTCTGTTGGGGGGTGAGGTGGGGACAGAGTTCCAGCCCCACCCTCCCAGCCGAGGCCCTGGTCCCACCTCTCTGGAAGGTTTAGTACCCTGGCCCCAGTCCCTCCTCCTCCAGAAACCAGGGGTCTTCTGGCCCCAGGCCTCCCTTCCCCAGAACCTCCAGCCAACAAGAGTCGCCTGCGCCCTCAGACTTCCAGCCACTTCGGCAGAGAGTAGCCCCAGGACCCCACTTCCCAGAGGAGGAAGGTGACACCACGCAGACAGAAGCCAAGTTAAACCCAGACTGGCCCATTCAGAGCTAACCCCTCAGCCACACTGCCCCACGAGCCCCTGCCTCAGTCAGGAAACAGCCTCTCAGATGGAGAAGGCCAGTGTGCGTATGCGGGGGGTGGGGGTGCTGAGCTCCAGGTCCTCTGGGCTAAGATGCGGTCTCTGGGGTGATCCCTGACCTCTGACCCCAGAGAGGACAGGAGCCTCTGCGGAGAAAGGCTGTCAGTGCAGGAACGGGTGCCGCCCTGGGTGTCGCCCTGCCTGCCCAGAGCCTCCTTCCTGGTGCCCGCCGGGGAGGCAGGGCCCCCGCCCCCGCCCCCCCCG